CTCAGAGATAATGGGGGGGAGGGGGGATACTCGAGTAGGTGGGAAATGGAGGAGGTTCAAGATACGGGGTAAGGAGGAAGGAGAAGGGAAGAGAGAGTAAGAAGGGGCAGGTAAGAGAAGACAAATGTTGGGTGGGGAAGACAACACAGAGAGGGAGAATGTAGACGACTCGAGAAAGGATGTGGGTGGGACGTAGAAAAGGAAAGTGGCGGTAATGAGAAGAAACATGAATAGGGAGGGGCGAGAGAGATGGTGGGAGAAAAGGAGAAAAGGGGAGTAACAGACAGCAAACTAAGTAGATATATAGACAGATAAATAGATAAATAGATAGATACATAGATATAGCGATAGATAGATAGATACATAGATATATAGATAGATAGAGAGAGAGAGAGAGAGCGACAGACAGAAAAACAGACATACAGGGAGGGGGGAGGCAGAGAGGAAGGGATGGAGCCAGGGAGGCAGGGAGGTAGATAGATTGATAGATAGAGAGACAGATAGTGAGAGGGCGACAGGCCTCCAATCCAACCTTCATCTTCATCCATGCACTCTCCAGCATCCACTTCTTTGCCAGCCTCGTAGCCTTCCTGCGGCTCTCCATCCTACACCTCCGACCAACACCTTATATATCATGCTGACCTTCCTAACATCCATACTAGTGCTTCAGTCTATCAAGTCGTAATTACCATGTGCATGTTGGCGAGACCAGAAGGCGCAGTCTAGTTTGCTGCTTGTAGATCGATTAGCTACGGTTACCACTGAGATGATCCACACATGACATTAGATCATCTACGAAATGCCATTTTATGAAATTTGAAAACACATGCCGGGTTTGGAAAACAGGAATTGATTTGGAAAACGGAATTTGATCTTGAAAACAGGGATTGATTTGGAAAATGGGGATTCATTTTGAAAGCAGGAATTGATTTGGAAAACGGAAACCTATTTTGAAAATGGGAAATAATGTTGAAAACGGAGATGTGGTTTTGAAAACGGTAATTGATTTTGAAAACAGAAATTTATCTTGAGAACAAAATTTTATTTTAAAAATGGAAACCGATTCTGATCACGGTTGATTTTTAGAACGAATTACATATTTTTAGGAAAAACAAAATTAATTGGAAAAATAGTAATCGAATTTGAAAATGACAACGGATAATAAAATAATTTTAATCGGTATGTGAAATCCAAAAAAATTCGGGTGTCAGTCTTGGGGCACCGTAATTTTATCAAGATAATTTTTTAACTAAAAATACTTTTCAGACCGGGCAGATCAATAATCAATCAGGTGAGAGGGGTAATCCAAAATGGCATGTGTGATGTGCTCACTAGCGCATGGGCACCCTGCACCACAGGGTACAGGTTAATGCCTGGCTATGAGCGTGGGAAATATGTGTGGCCTCATCTTAGAATCGTATCCGCTAAAATACTAAAAACCTATGTGCCCATATCTCAGAATAGTGTGAAGTAAATCAAAGTACAAATAAAAGTAATAAACTATAAATCTAAACGTCCTGCTATAGATTTAGATCTTAGCTAGGACGCGAAGGTCGGAAATTACATTTGGATATCGAAATTTTATTAAAATTTTTTGTAACTGTTACGAATATTTTGAAACGGAATTTGAATTTGAATTTCGAAAATTTTGCCAAAAACCTGTGACCAAACAATTTGCATAAGGAAACGTGTGTGGAATATATACGCGCTTGCCTCAGAATAGAATCAATTAACAAAAATAGTAAATAAATACCCTGCCGGATTGATTGCTATCACAGCGAGGGCACGAGGTCGGAGCGGAGTTGAATTTTAAATTTCAATAAAAAAAATTAAGTAATTTTGAATAGTGAAATTGAGATTGGACGTGCAATTTTGCAAACGAAACTGTGATCAAATGGTATAAAACTTGTAAAGGAAACACGCGTGTCCATATCACTCTGAACAGAGTGGTATGAAGTAACAAGTAAAACAATCATTCACTGACTAAGTATCCTGGTTGTTTCAATGACAGCTCAGCGAATGGATGCGGAAGAGTGAAGGCAGCGAGTTACTCCTCCTGTGTGGTGGACTCATCGTCAGCAGCTGGGGTGTCGATTGCCACCTGAAGATAGAGTAAGACACATAGGAGTGCTTGCGCAAGCCCGCATATTCACGCTCGCGTACAGCACAGCGCACGCACGGCATACGAGCGTACGGCACAACACACGCATACATACACACACACACACACACACACACACACAACACACACACACACACACACACACAAAACACAGCACGGCCGCCGCGAAAACAATAGGCGTTCCGCTACACTACGCTGCGGACAATATAAACCATTACTGCGACGCGTTTGCCTACATTTTTCAAGAATTCATTACTACAGTAAAAACCCCGTTAGTAGGGAAACTGACGGGTGTCATAAGGAAAAAATAATTGTATTAGCGGGGTTTCGTATTAAACCACTTCACCATATAGTTTAGCCCCGAATTAACAAAGAAATTAAATTAATTGCGATTACAAGGGGCGGACGGGGGGCCCTGAGCGGGCGCGCGGGCGTGGGGTGTGTACAAGCGCTAATCTTACTACTATATATTTATATAGGGTTTATATCAAAAGTAGATTAATAAATATGCGTTCTATTATCTATTCTTGTTTAATATGTATAGAATTAAGAACTTTAGTAACGTTAAATTGTGTCACAAATAGAATAACAATTACTGACAAGCCTAAATTCGCTCATTCAATTTACTACTATTCATTACCTGACAGTCCACCCTAGTACGACTAACGGCAAAGGAAAAATACATCGTATTAGGCGGTTCCGTTATTATATTAGCTTTAATTTGAAGAGGAAAAACAGAAGGATTAGAAGTGTGTGTAGAAAGTGTTTTATATTAGAAATGAATATTACCCGGACGAAAATTTTATGTTAGGTAACAGGATCCTTGTGTATTATTGTCTCACTATAACGTCAATATTTTACTAAAAGATTACTATGGAATTCGGCGGCCGGGATTTTAGAGAAATCATCGTAGTCTCATTCAGCGTAACGAGGCGAATATAGGCACGCCGGGAGGCAGTATTCTCGCTACCTTCTACTTCCGCACCACGTCGAGATTAAGAAATTTTTAGTATCTATGTATGATGATAATCGACACGTGTTGAACGTGCTTGTGCGAAGCAGCTAAACATAAGCTTGTAAATAGTGCGTGCATTGATATGATATATGCCGTCGGCATAACGTATTGCGCCATGACACGCCGCGTTTCACACCGGACGTTTTTAGGTCCGAGCCCTAATTGGCCCGTTGCCAGATTTGAGCTCGAGCGAGCGTTCACACGCAACGGTGTTTGGCCGAGCCTAAATTTAGGCCCGCCCTGCCAGTATTTGGTTCCCATCGAACACGTCGGACCAGGCCCGAGCTGCAAATTTTAGCACCCAGCTTTCGGCGAGCGCGTAGAGCGGAGAATTCGGCCTTGAACATATAGTCCAAAACAGTTATTTACAAATTTAGAAAATTTTTGCATTCAGTATGCACGTTTCAAGATTGATATTGAATCGGAACGATAAGTAAACAATCTGATCGTACATAACGCCATCTCGCGACATACTGCCAAAGTATCTGTGAGATATTTGATGCAATAAAATTTGTTTGATTTGACATTTGTGACATTTGACAGACAGTATTCACTTTGGCTACCTACGTCGCTGTGAACGCTCCGACTCAACCCGGCCGACCGCCAAATTTTGGCCCGAGCCAAATCTCAGCCCAATTTTGCGCCTCGAGCCAAACATAGACCCGTGTCGAACGCACTTATAGTTTTCCTCGCTGTACCTCAGTACTTATTACCTTAGCGTAGTTTTTTTTATTTTGCCCCGCATCTGGGGCACCTGCCCCCCTTCCGCAGGAGAAGTTATGCAGGCCCTTGTGTAGGTACCTTTTCAAGGAGAACCCTTGCACGTACGTGCCCACCAAATCATTCAGATAACCTAAGTATAATCTCTCCGTTTGTGAGCAAAAGCTACGAGGTTATGTTTTCTTAATACCGTTTCGGTTACAACCGCCGTTCGGTGATCCGCCAACCGCTTTTTACTGCCGTTTTTCTCGCGTGTCTACGTGATTCCCCGTTCTACCGGTTATTCCCCGTTCTACTGGATTATTCCCCGTTCTACTGTATTGCCACCGCTTCTACCGGTAATTACCCGTTCTATGGTTATTCCCCGTTCTACTGCGTTATTCACCGTTCTACTGCGTTCGCAAAAAGTGGGAGGGGGGCAAAACCAACCCGGCTTAGAACGCGAGTTTGCGGATCTAATGACTGGACCACGGTGCGAAGCGACAAGTCACACGTGTAACTGCGAATAAAGTGGCTGATCTGTCTATTTCATCAACTAAATATGCCGTAAGTTGTAGAGTTATGGCTTTAATCGGGAACCGTATACGCGGGTAATCATTTTATATGTATCGTACTGTATGATATGTATGTTTGTGGTTGTATGTATGTGTGTGTGTGGTGTGTGTGTGGTGTGTTTGTTGTGTGTGCCGTGTGGCTGTGTTGTGTGTGTGTGTGTGGGGAATGTGATGTGTGCGTGTGTGTTTGGATGTGTGTGTGTGTGTGTGTAGTGTGATGTGTGTGTGCTCTGGTTGTGCTGTCGTGTGTGGGCTGTGATGTGTGTGATATGGTATGTATGTATGTATGAGATGTATGTATGTATGATATTGTATGTATGTAATGTATGTATGTATGTATGTATGTATGTACTGTATGTTGTATGTAGTGTATGTATGTATGTATGTATGTATGCTACTGTATGTATTGATGTATGTTGTACTGTATGTATGTATGTATGATATGTATGTATGTATGTAATGTATGTATGTATGTATGTAATGTATGTATGCTATGTTGTATTATCGGTATGTGATGCTATGTATGTTCGTATGTACTGTACATGTATGTATGTATGTATGTATGTATGTATGATGTATCGTATGTATGTATGTATTATGTATGTATGTATGTTATGTATGGTATGTATGTATGTATGTATGTATGTATGTATGTACTGTATGATATGTATGCTATGTATGTATGTATGAATAATGTATGTAATGTATCGTATGGTATGTATGTATGAATTATGTATGTCATGTATGTATGTAGTATGTAATGTACTGGTCATGTTATTATGTATGTATGTATGTATTGTAATTATGCTATGTATGTATGTATGATGAGAGTTGTATTGTAGTATGTATGTATGTATGTATGATTGTATGTAAATGTATGTATGGTACTGTATGTATGATAATGTATGTAATGTATGTAGGTGTATGTATGTAATGTATGTATGATATGCTATGTCATGTATGTGTGTATGTATAGTATGTACTGTTATGTAATGTATGCTATGTATGTATGTATGTACTGTATGTATGTCATGTATGTATGTATGTATGTATGTATGCTATGATATGTATGTATGTATGTATGTATGTATGGTATGTACTGATATGTATGTAATGTATGTATGTATGTATGTATGTATGTATGCTATGTCATGTATGTATGTATGTATGTATGTTATGTATGGTATGTATTGTTGTATGTATGCTATGTAATGTATGTAAGTATGTATGTATGTATGTATGTATGTATGTATGTATGTATGTATGTATGTATGTAGTATGATGTATGTATGTATGTATGTTATGTATGTATGTATGTCATGTATGTATGTATGTATGTATGTATGATACTGGCTATGTATGTATGTATATGTATTATGTATGTATGTATGTATCGTATGTATGTATGTATGTAATGTATGTATGTATTGTATGTATGTATGTATGTATGTAATGTATGTAATGTATGTATGTATGTATGTATGTTTATGTTATGTATGTTATGTATGTATGTATGTATGATATGTATGTATGTATGTATGTATGTATGTATGTATGTATGTATGTATGTAGTTATGTATGATGTATCTATGGGTTATATCCGGTATTTCCCTTTTTATTTTTTGATACGTTTCCACCGTAATTTCACCTTTTACGCGGATCATTTATATATCGGGTACGCCGGTAATCTATTATATTGAACCGGTGACATCTATTGTCTCTATGGTGGCAACGCGTTATTCTGTTAATATAGGTAGGCTCGTGCGTGTCTATGTCTCCCTGCGTAGCTGGCCGGAACCAGAGCCGCGGTAGCGCCGGATTTTATTTTGGGGGCGGCAATGCATGCAGCACGTGAATGTTGCGATCAGGGGCGTAAATCCGTACCGAGCGAGTGGGGGGGGGGATGATCGGCGTAGCCATCACACATACTAGCACGAGCGTAAGCCCACAATGATTTACACACACGCGCGCGATCGCGCACGCCACGAACATACATTACACACACACCAGGGGCGGATTCGAAGATTTTGAAAGCGGGGTGTCCAGGAAGAAATAAAGGGCACTTTTTTTTGGCCTTACTTTTCTTGGTGTTTTAAAAAGCTGCCGAAGGCCACTTTGGGGGGTTTGGGGGACCTCCCCCAAGATTTTTTTTAAAAATTGGTGGCATTCTGAGAGCATCTGGAGCAGTAATTTTGATGTCTAGAATGCAAAAATTTATCAGATCAGGTCCCCCGACACCTGCGGAAACCTCTTTGCCCATTTCTAAGTTTTTATAACGAATTTACATATATATAAGGAAATCTTTATCAGAGAAAACTAGGCGCTAAACAAGATTTTTTCATGGAGCACAATATAAGAGAGTGGATACTGTGTTGTGTGTGCGCCGCGCGCGTGTGTGTGCGGCGGTGCCAGTGTGTGTGTGTGTGTGTGTGTGTGCGTGGCATGCGTGTGTGTGGTGTTGTCTGTGTCTGTGTGTGCTGTGTGCGTGCGTCGCGTGCGTGCGTGCGTGCGTGCGTGCGTGCGCGCGCGCGTGCGCGTGTGTGGTATGCATTTTTTTCCTTTTTTTGTAGGTTAAAAAGGGGGGTCCGGCACCCTCGACCCCCCTCTGGATCCGCCCCTGCACACACACACACACACACCACACACACACACACACACACACGCACAACGCATATACACACACACACACACACACACACACACACACACACACACACACACACACACACACACGCGCGCGTACATACATTTTTACATGCATACTAACATGCACGCACATGGCAAATTTGACAACCGTACGTTTTGGCACGTGCCCGTAGCCATGCCAGTGCTAGGGGGGTCTGGGGCATGCCCCCCACAAAAATTTGAATATTTAAGCCATTTTGGGCCAATATTTGAGCCGTTTTGGGGGGGCGACCGCCCCACCGCCCCCCTGGCTAGCGGCCTGGCTCGGAACGTACTGGGTACGGTTCGCGTATACCGCGAACCTACCCTCGGTAACTATCCTCGATATGCGTTAGGGTTTGAGTAGGCGTAGGCGACTCCCTAGACTCGTTAGATATTATACTATACTTATATACTCGGCATATTAGATAGTTACCTGGGTACGGTCCGGTAATTACCGGAACGATCCCCTGGTAACATTTAATATGCCGGACCGTTACCTCGCTACTCCATATTATGTAATAAGTCTAACGAGTCTACGGAGTCGCCTACGCCTACTCCCTAACCCTAACCCTAACTCCAACCATAACCCTAACCCTAATCATATCAAATAGTTACCAGGGTACGTTCCGGTATACCGGACCGTACCCAGGGTACGTTCCGGCAGTACCCAGGGAGACATAGACCCTATGAGCATTATAGTTAGGTACGGTGATGGGCGTTGACAGTCAGATATGCGGTAGCCGTTAACTTAGTACGACTACGAGTTTTCTCTGACCAAAACCTAGCTCTAGTACTATAGTATAGCCCTTCGCTCCGCCGCAGTTATTACGTTATTGTTTTTATAATAAGGATTGAATAAAAACACACGAGATTGCACGGCTAAATCTGAAAATCCAACGTTTGCTAGCCCTAATCAACCTGTGACTTAGTTATTATGTTGAATTCAACAAACCAGAGCTCAGGATCTACCTCAAACATTCCCCTACCACCATACGTAATAGGTTCATTATTTTACCATACACTTTCACAAGTTTATTTTAAACAAAAATACTGTTTGTACCTGCATCGCCGTCCATCGGTAACTTAAAAAACTCCATGATAACTTATAATATATATCTAGGTAGATTAAGTTCAGTGAACGTTGGACAATTGGATTCCGATATTATAGCCGTGTACGCTCTAGGTTTTACTGACTCATGTGTAACTGGGTTATGTAAAACCCTGCTATATATTGTATTATTACTGTGTTTTATTATGTAGTCGTTCTAAGTGAACATGTAAATTCTAGTTATTTTATTGATCTATATATAGGACAATAAGCTAATTTCACATCTCAAAAAGTGGTGCATTGAGGGTAGAAATTTTCTGGCTACAAAACAGACTACTAGTATGTAAGGTCAAAATTTTGACTATATGGTACACAGTGCTTGCTTTAGCAATTTTCAATTTTGTACAAACCATTTTCACACCCGACAGTGCCATATCTTGTATCCGCCTAGAATGTTTAAGTTATAAATAAAAGTCTATATAGCATTTCCTGATGAGAAATTGATGTTATGTCAGTGTATATTTCTATTGGTGTTACTTTAAGTTGAGTGTTAAATTGAAATTTCATTTCAGATATCATTGGGAGAAGCACTTGCATATAACTACTTTGCTGGCTACCTAAATCTGGTATTGTCTAGTGTGGCTGATAGGATCAGCAGCAGTAAATATGGCCAAAGCACAACAAATAAGAAGTTGTTTATTCTAATCCCTGCTAATGGTGAGATGTCAGGGAAGCTGCAGGACGTCGACAAGAGCATACGACAGGTTGGAACGTTAGCTCCATTGATGATAGACAGAGCTGGATTCAAAAGAAAGTACCCTAATAACGTCTATGGATCAGTTCATAATGAAAAGGTAAGCACAAGTGTCAAGTGGAAAAAGTTTGTTCATAGAAGTAAGGCCTCAATTCAAATCCCACATTTAGGAGTTACCGATTTAGAACTAGCTTGACGACTGAGGGCCATCTAAAAAGAAATCTTTCTACATCTGGTTACTATAAACTTCAGTAATCATGTATCAGTGTAATTAGATGCAACTACAGGAATGTGTTATTAATATGATTACTACATGGATATTAATCACTGGTGTATAAATAAAGTATGCAAAGTGGCGCACTAATGTATTATATATGGTTGCTATATCGAATGGTATTTACGGTTGTTTTGATAATATTTTAGGAAGTAACATTCGTTGCCGACATGCCAGCAAATCTGCTCACGCTCCGAGACATGACAGAAGATTTCGAGCTGACTGGCTTCACAGAGCAGGATAAGCTGCACGAGGTCCAGAAGTATGCTGCGTTCTTGAAGAAAATTCTAGAGAGGCAATCCCATCTGGCTGGGACGTACGAAATTGTTGTCTACAATGGTAAATCTGTGTTAAAACTTTCTGTGTGAAAACATTACACCACCACAGCATAAATGTTAATTTTGCCGAAATTGTTGATAATACAGCAGATCACTAGGGAAGTGCAACGATATGATTGTTTTTGTGTGTGGTGGGGACAGGTAAGGGGGGAGCATTTACATGGAATGTAATTTTGAGACTGGGGTTTATAGAAAGACCAAAACCGGAGAGATTTTATTATGTGGTGCTTCCTGAATGCAATTTGGTATTAGTTTGAAGGAATTATTTCAAATTTCAGGAAGAATGGCTTTGAATAGTATAGATTTCTAAGCATTTGCTATGAAGAAAAAATGTATAGCAGTCTCACCCATCTTTAAGACTGTCCTAAATGTTAATAAGCAAAAAAACTTGTGATAATATAACATATCTTGTTTTTGAACTTTTTACAGGAGATGCTGCGATGATGGATGCTGTTCAGCACTTTCTTTGAAATTGAGGCGAGGCCATACTTAAAAAATTCTATGTTTGCTGTCCCCAGACCCATGATTTTTTTAGTGGGTAGGTTATGCCCGGCGCACACGTGAGTTATTTTACTCAAGTAAAATGACGCATGAGTCCTTTTACTCACGTGTGCGGCGGATTTTCGTTGAGTAATTTGACTCGTGCGTCGGGCTCACGTGTCGCCGGGCTTTAGGCGAGATTTTTTTATAATGTTGGTTTACAGATCCGCCGACCCGAATTTTCAAGAAAAACGAAAAAAAATAAAAATTGAAAATCTGTATTTTTTTCCCCGCCGACCTTTTCTCTAAGAAATATGAATAAAAAAATTTAAATGTAAAAAACAAAAACAGTTTATAACAAAAGTAAAAATAATTACAAGTTGAATTTTGTTTTCATTTAGTTTTCTTAAAATACTTTGATATATCATGTATAACAGTATCACTGTATTTTGACTTGTTTGATCTGACAAAACGACAATTTTTTTTTACCCTACCGAGTCAACAACAACAACAAAAATTCTGTAAACCAAAAAAAAAAAGGTGGCCTTGGTAGGTCTTTTTTTGTGAGGCATAATAGTTATTTTAAGTCTGTCCTCGTGTTTGCCACACATGCTTTGTGTTTCAGTCTTAACTATAAGGAATGTATATGCACCTTCCACAATACCAGTAGAAGAGTTATATTTATATTTATATAGACAAAATAAACAACAACAACAAAGAAAAAAGAAAAAAATAGAACCCAAAATGTAAAAAAAAACTTTTGGGTAGCGGCTATTTTCGTGGGTCGGTCGGTGGACAGCAAACATAGAATTTATTAATTATAATATTATATAAATTTAAAAAATAGAGTTTCTATTTCTAATTATTATATTTCGAGGTTATCTTTCATAATAAACTAAATTCTTAGTAGTTATTATAGACAATAAATTGTCATGGAAGAAACATATTACTTATAATATAGCCAATGAGGTTTCAAGAGGAATAGGAATAGTGACAAAAATCAGATGTTACTTAAATCGACCAACTGTGGTGAATTTATATTATACTTTTATCTATCCTTATTTCAGGTATTGTATTCACATATGGAGAAGTAGGCCTACCTACCAAACGTCACTAACTAAGCTTGTCATTCTTCAGAAAAAAATTATCAGAGTAATTACATTTTAACCGTATCGTGCTCATACTGAATCACTTTATAATAGTCTGGGGGTATTAAACCTTAAACAAATATATATATTTATGGTGGGTTTGTTTATGTACAACTGGAGAATCGAAGAACTTCCTAAAATCTTTAACAATATGTTTCATTTAAATTTTAACATTTATGGTTATTACACCAGACAAAGGGAAAATGTTCACATAAATGTTGTACGCGCAAATATCCGCAAAATGTCCATATCCTACCGTGGGGGTCTTATTTTGGGGAAAATTTAAGCTAAAATTAGCATAAATACTATAAAAAATGTCTTTGCATTTAAGAGATGCTTAAGAAAGCTTATCATGAGTAATATGATATGTTAGATATCTTTGCATTACCACTTATTGTTGTTTTTCTGTTTCGGTAAATGCACCTAGTATTGTTTTCTTGTTTTTCTTTTGTACTTTTTCTATGCACTCTTTATGATATTTAATTGGTGTGACAGAAACGGGGAATCATAAATCCTGTTTGGATTTCATTCGACATTTGCTATAGGGGGCCTATATATATATATGCAAAAAATAAAAGATTTTACGCTTATGAAAACTATAATCATGTTCATTAAATGAAAGTTTCAAATTGCTACTAGTTTAAAAATAAAAGTAAATTTGCAACTAATTGTCTCATAACATCTAGGACTATTTATCTCTAATAAATCAAATGGAGTGGAACGGTCACAGGAAAGCTGGTAAAGTGTATCCGCTATCACATCAATAAAACGCACAAGAGATTATAGTTTAAACATGAAGGTACCACGGAAAAGATTGATGTGATTTATTTTACAATAAAACTAAATCAAAGTATAAACAAACAAACAAAATATGTATTGTAAATACATTTGTAGCGTCTGCTACACCCTTCTCTCTCCCGCCATCCCTCTCCCCTTCTTTCCTTTCCCTCCTCTTTCTCCGCACCCCTTCCCTCTGCCCCTCTCTCTTTCTCCCTCGCTCTCTCTCTCTCTCTCTCTCTCTCTCTCTCTCTCTCTCTCTAGCGTTTGCCTACATTTTTCCAAGAATCATTACTACAGTCAAACCCCGTTAGTAGAAAACTGACGGGTCAAAGAAAAATAATTGTATTAAGCGGGTTTCGTATTAACCACTTCAACATATATTAGCCCCGAATTAACAAAGAATAAATTATGGATTACAAGGTGTGTACAAGGTATTTTATATATTTTATATAGGTTTATATCAAAAGTAGATAATAAATATGCGTTTATTATCTATTCTTGTTTATATGTATAATTAAGAACTTTAGTAACGTTAAATTGTTCACAAATAGATACAATTACTGCAAAGCCTAAACTCCTCATTCAATTACTACTATATTCATTACTACAGTCGCACCCCGTTAGTACGAAACTGACGGGCCAAAGAAAAATAATCGTATTAAGCGGGTTCCGTATATTATATTAGCTTTAATTTGAAGAGAAAAACAATGGATTAGAAGGTGTGTAGAAAGTGTTTTATATAGAAATGAATATACCGGGACAGAAAATTTTATGTTAGTAACAGGATCCTTGTATTATTGTCTTCATATCAAGTCAATATTTTACTAAAAGATTACTATGAATCGGGCCGGGATTTAGAGAAATCATCGTAGTCTCATCAGCGTAACGAGCGAATATGGCCGCCGGAGGCAGTATCTCGCTGCCTTCCTCTTCCCACCACGTCGAGTAAGAAATTTTTAGGTATCTATGTTGATGATAATCACACGTTTGAACGTGTGTGCCAAGAGCTAAACAAAGCTGTAATAGTGCGTGCATATATGATATATGCGTCAGGCATATATCATATATGCGTCAGGCATATATGATATATGCGTCGGCTAACGTATTGCGCCATGACACGCGCGTTCACACGGACGTTTTTGGTCCGAGCCTAATTAGGCCCGTGCCAGATTTGGCTCGAGCCGAGCGTTTACACGGACGTTTTTGGCCCGAGCCTAATTAGGCCCGTGCCAGATTTGGTCCCATCGAAAACGTCGGACCAGGCCCGAGCCAAATTTTAGCACCAGCTTTCGGCGAGCGGTAGAGCGGTAGAATCGGTTGAACTATAGTCCAAAACAGTATACAAATTAGAAAATTTTGATCAGGATGCACGTTTTCAAGATTGATAATTGAACTCGGAACGTAAGTAAACACTCTGAATCGTACATAACGCCATCTCGCGACATACTGCCAAAGTATCTGTGAGATATTTGTGCAATAAAATTTGTTTGAATTTGAATTTGAATTTGACAGACAGTATTCACTTGCGTAGCCTACGTGTGAACGCTCCGACTCAAACCGGCCCGAGCCAAATTTGGCCCGAGCCAAATCTAGCCCATTTGGCTCGAGCCAAACCATGACCGTGTGAACGCGACTTATATGTTTTCCTCGCTTACCTCAGTTACTTATTACCTTAGCGTATTTTTTTATTTTGCCCCCGCATCTGGGGGCACCTGCCCCCCTTCCCGCAGGAAGTTATGCGGCCCTTGTGTAGTCCATTTTCAAGAGCAACCCTAGACGTACGTGGCCCACCAAATCATTCAGATAACCTAAATATAATCTCTCCGTGTGAGCAAAAAGCTACGAGGTTATGTTTTCTTATACCGTTTCGGTTAAACCCCGTTCGGTGATTCCGCCAACCGCTTTTTACTGCGGTTATTCTCCGTTCTACCGGTGATTCCCCGTTCTACCGGTTATTCCCCGTTCTACTGGTTATTCCCCGTTCTACTGGTTATTCCCCGTTCTACCGGTAATTACCCGTTCTACTGGTTATTCCCCGTTCTACTGGTTATTCCCCGTTCTACTGGTCCAAAAAGTGGGAGGGGGCAAAACCAACCCCGGTTAGAACGCGGTTTGCGGATCTAATAGACTGACCACGGTGGAACGACAAGTCACACGTAACTGCGATAAAGTGCTGATCTGTCTATTTCATCAACTTAATATGCCGGTAAGTTGTAGAGTTATGGTTAATCGGGAACCGTATACGCGGTAATCATTTATATGTATGTATGTATGTATGTATGTATGTATGTATGTATGTATGTATGTATGTATGTATGTATGTATGTATGTGTGTGTGTGTGTGTGTGTGTGTGTGTGTGTGTGTGTGTGTGTGTGTGTGTGTGTGTGTGTGTGGTGTGTGTGTGTGTGGGTGTGTGTGGTGGTGTGTTGTGTGTATGTATGTATGTATGTAGTATGTATATGTATTATGTATGTATGTATGTATGTATGTTGTATGTATGTATGTATGTATGTAAATGTATGTATTATGTATGTAGTATGTATGTTGTAATGTATTGATGTAGTGTATGATGTAGTATGTATGTATGTCATTTATGTATGTAATGTATGATGTAGTATGGTATGTATGTATGTATGTATGTATGTATGTAAGGATGTAGTATGTATGTATGTTATGGATGTATGTATGTATGTATGTATGTAGTATGTATGTATGTATGTATGTAATGTATGTACGTTATGTATGTAGTATGTAGATAGTAGTATGTATGTATGTATGTAGTAATGATATGTATGTATGTATGTATGTATGATGTATGTATGTATGTATGTAGTATGTATGTATGTATGTAGTAATGTATGTATGTATGTAAGGGGGGGGGGGGGGGGGGGGGGGGGGGGGGTAATGTATGTATGTATGTATGTATGTATGTATGTATGTATGTATGTATGTAGTAGTATTATGTATGTTGTATGTAATGTAATGAGTAGTATGTATGTATGTATGTATGTATGTATGTATGTATGTATGTATGTATGTATGTATGTATGTATGTATGTATGTATGTATGTAATGTAATGTATGTAAATGTATGTATGTATGTAGTATGTATGTAATAGTATGTATGTACCTGTATGTATGTATGTTGTATTGTATGTATCTATGTATGTATGTATGTAATGTATGTATGTAGTATGTATGTAATGTATGTATGCTATTAGTAGATGTAGTATGATAATGTACTGTATGTATGTATGTATGTAGTCGTATGTATGTAATGTATGTATGTATGTATGTATGTATGTATGTATGTATGTATGTATGTATGTAAGTAAGTATGTATATGTTATGTATTGTATTATGTATGTATGTATGGTATATGTATTATGTATGTATGTAGTATGTATGTATGTAGTATGTATGTATGTATGTATGTATGTGTAGTATGTATGTATGTAGTTTATGTTAGAGTAGTATGTATGTATGTATGAGTATGTATGGATGTAGGATGTAGTATGGTATGTATGTATGTATGTATTATGTTGTAGTTTGGTTATGTATGTATGTGTAATGTATGTGTATGTATGTAATGTATGGTATAGTATGTATGCTATGTATGTATGTATGTATGAATGTATAGATATGTGCATGCATCTATGCATCATGTAATGCATCATGTGATGTTGATGTACTATCGTGTGTAGTACTACGAGTTATTGTTCTCCCTTTTTATTTTTTTGATAGTTTCCCACCGGTAATATTCAATTTACCGGGAGATTTATTATATCGGGTACGCGTAATGCTATTATATGGGCGTGAGGCATTATTGTATCTATGCTGAGCAACAAGCGTTATTACTGTTAAATTAGTTAGGGCTCGTCGGGTCTATGCCCCTGGGTTTACTGGCGGAACGCTAGGCGCGTAAGCGCAGGATTTTATTTTGGGGGGGCGGCAATGCATGAGCAGTGAAGTGTGGCGAATCAGGGCGTAAATCGTAGCCCGAGGAGTGGGGGGGGGGGATGGGAGTGTGGCGATAAGCCATCACATACTACACCGAGCGGTAAGCTCCACAATAATTACACAGCACGCGCATCGCGCACCCACGGCACGAACACATACATACACACACACACAGGGCGGATCCAGAAATTTTTGAAACAGGGGTGTCGCAGGAGCAAAAAGGGCACTTTTTTTTGCTTGACTTTTCTGGTGTTTTAAAATAAGCTGCCGAAGGCCACTTTGGGGGGGTTTGGGGACCCCGCCAAGATTTTTTTTTTAAATTGTGGGCATTCTGAGAGCACTCTGAGCGAGTAATTTTGATGTCGTAGAATGGCAAAATTTATCAGATTCGGTCCCGCCGACACCTGCGAACCCTCTTTGCCGCATTTCAAAGTTTTTATAACTGAATTTTACATTATATATAATAATCTTTATCAGAAAAACTAGCGCTAAACAAGATTTTTTCATGGAGATCAATATAAGAGAAAGTGTGTGTGTGTGTGCGCGCGTGCGCGTGTGTGTGTGTGTGTGTGTGTTGTGTGCGTGCGAGGGGATGCGTGGTGTGTGTGTGTCTGTGTGTCCTGTGTGTGGCCTGTGTGCGTGCGTGCGTGGCTGCATGCGTGTGCGTGCGTGCGCGCGCGCGCGTGCGTGTGTGTGTATGATTTTTTACCTTTTTTTGTGGTTAAACAAGGGCGGGGTCCGGACCCCCTCGACCCCCTCTGGATCCGCCCCTGCAACACAACACACACACCACACAACACACACCACACAACACGGAAGCACGAACACGCATATACACACGACGACGCACTACACACACACACACACCACCACACACACACACACACCCAATTGCACACCAACACACATCACACGTCGCGTACATAC